GTTTTGGGTCTGATTTGAGCCTGATACAGGTCTGATTTGAGCCTGATGCAGGTCTGATTTGAGCCTGAGTTTGGTCTGTTTTGGGTCCTGATTGGGTCTGATTTGAGAGCAGAAAGAAGTCATCATGGTCATTGACTTTGAAGAGAAAATAAACAATCCAAAACCAAAATGCCTGAAGGGAACTTGTGTAACCTCCAATGCTTCAGGCGGTTTGAAAACAAAGGACAGAGAAACACCCCAAACAAGTAGTTAGAGCTGAGTGAGAGAAAAGCTGCAGGCTGCAGCCCTGTTAGGTAACAGCTTCTGATTTACCGACATTCATGTTTCCATCTGCTAAAACAAGCCACATGCTGACCGGCCCTGTTCTCTTTTCTGACATTTTGTATTTCTATTTTGTGAGAGCATTACAGTACAGTGCTAGTTACTTTCATACAATGTTACTACAGCGACTCAAAAATATTTGTGTGTAATATACAAAGTTCAGTAAATTACATCTAACAACTTTGAACAATCTGGGGAAGATGGACTTACATGAAAAATCAAAAAATACATAAATAAAATGTCCACTAGGCAGTTTTGAAGTAAAGTGTGGGAGATAAATTAATCCTTAGATACAACAAAACATTAAGATAAAATAAAATAAATGAGATCATTGCATGGTCACCCGTTCTGGACTTCTGTCTGTTCAAACCAGCATATTTAACCCACTTGGCCTTAGTGGATATGGTTTTTAGAAGTCGAAGGGAGAAGGAGATCCTTTCCTTAAAGTAAATGTAATTTATCCACTCTTATTATCCACTCCGGTATTGTGGGTGGATCGGGGGGTCGACCAACGTCTTGTGAGTACTTTTAAATCAAAATTTCCTAAAAATAATCTTAAAACCTGCATAGGTAGATTAGTGTTAGATAGACCACCTTATACTTTATGGAGCTCCACTGGGCATAAACTAAAGATTTGCCGGTGACTGTCTTTCCTGTGTCCGCGTTGCCCCCCCGGCTGTGGAAAAAAACACTCGTCCGGACGTGGAAAAACCT